CCGAGGAACTCTGCTGCCTCCTGTTTGTCTAGGTATAACTGACAGAGACATGCAGAGAGGTGTAATAGCAGGGGTTTTTGTTTATAGCCTTGATTCTAAAAAGGATTATTTTCCATCCTTGAACACTAAGCACTTCACATATTTAATATAAAACTGTGCACATGGAGCTGGGAGGGGCAGAGAAAACAAGCTACAGAAGAAATTACTAAGCTAATAGAGCACTTGTAATGACGGAGATGTGAATCCTTCTTCCTTATCCCTGCTCTCAGGACTTCATACAATCACTAGGTTAAAAACAAACAAAAATCCCAGCAACAAAAATACCCAAACTTAAGAAACAGCTCATGAGATAGAGCTCAGAATGTGTGGTTGGAATCCAGATTTCTTAACCATGCCAATATTAGAAGCATTTTGCAGAGCAGCAGTGGGATGGTAGAAGAAAGGAGAAATGCTAAGTATTTAAGGAAGAACTGCGGGAGACAGAAGTGGAACTGTGGAATGTAGTGACAACTGAATCAACTAAATACTATAGTGTATATAAAATACAGTTATTTTGTTTGAGAATATCTTTCTGTCACTGTGGATAAGATAATGAATGTGCCTTATAAAACTAAACAGATAGATAGCAATGTAATTAATGCACTTTCTCCCGCTGTGTATTAAGTAACAGGGCAGTCACCTGAATGAGTGCTTGGACCTTCTTCACGAAGTCAAGAAATGTTCCAGTCAATTCTGGTGATCGTTGGTCTGGGGTTGGCTGGGATTGCCAGACTGGATCCATCACTGAGCTTTGAGGGGAACACCAAGGAAGAAAGAGATGTGTTGCTGGGTCCGTACTGCTTTGGAGTTAGTGCCTCTTCTGCAGAGTGCCTAGAAGACCTGTAGTTACAGTGGGAGCTGTCAGGATTTGCTGAGCTAGAAATTCACATTGATGATGTCTGAAACTCAAGACTTTAATGTGACAAAGACCACTCGTGTTTTGGGTTGGAGATAACAGTAGTTGTGAAGATTCAGTGCACATCTTGAAATGCTTGCAGTGCTATGAAATGCTTATGTTTGGTGGTAGTTTATGATGTTATATGTATGTTAGGTAGAAGTATATTATTTGAGAGTGATTAGTCAGTAGAGCTCCCTGTTGCTGTGTCTGACATGGGGGGAAGTACAAAACATTTGCTGATGTGAGTACAGTGAGTAGAGGTAAGCCACTCAGCTTTGCTCAGAAGACTCTCTATTCCTGGAAAATGTAATGCCAAAGGCCTTTTGGATTTAAAGTAAGAGTACAAGTTTCTGTTGATGTAAACTTAGGAGAATATTTTTGATTATTACTTTTCAGATTGAAATTTCAGTATGAAGGGAAACATCAGAATGCCTGTTTCTGATGCCTGCTAATTATTATAGTTAACTTTAGGCAGACAGGGATGGAGTTATTCTGCAACTGTTTTATCATGGCTTGAAGCAAGAAGTATTAGATTGAGAGGGTTTATGTGAAGCCTGTTTTTCTCATACAACTTTGTGGAGATACTCAACTAATTTTGTTGTACCCAATCCAACTACATTCCTTTTAGTTAGATGGATGATTCTCAAGTTATTCATGGTCTATGCCCAGTTTCCTTATAGGATAGAGCAGGTGATTTAAGAGAACAATCCATCACTATCTATCTTGGAGGCATATAATTGCTCATAAATACAGTACTTTGTGTTTCATCTTTGTTTTCATAACCTTGAATGTGGTACCAGCTTATGTAGCTAGTAAGGCTTTCTGCTTGGAAACAGTGAAGTGTGAGAAAAATCAGACTTCCCATGCCGTGAATCCAAATCTGAGTCTCCTGTAGGCTGTGAACCCAATTAAATTACTGGGAAAGCATTTCAGTAAATGCAGTAACTGAGTGAATGTGCGAGATGGAGTTTGGCTTTCAAATTTGGAGACTGGAAACAGGGAGTAATAGTAAGAGAACAGTGACTGTTGACAAAGCAGACGGTACTTGGTGGGAAGGATTTCTTTATCTGTCTAAGCATCTGCTGTAGGTGTATGAGTTAAGTTAATCTTAAGCTTCTGCATGCACATCTGCATTATCTCTAGTAATTTGGTTATTTTTAACAAATACCACAAAAAAAGTACCACGAATCGCTCAGTTTAGGCAGGGATTCTTCAGCACTTGGCAGAGGAGGATCATGGACTACATCTGTAGAAGGAAAGGGGTGTCAGTACAGTGATATGGAGAGAGAACTAAATGAAATACCTGAAAAATTTCCAGGGAAACAGCCTCCCCTGCAAAGTGTCTTTTCTTGCTTCAAACTTGCCAGACGAAGCACACGTAAATGTGAAACTGGTAGGAAGCCATATGATGGCTGGAGAAAACATGTAATGGACATTATGTGTGTCTGGCATCTAGATTCAGGCAATTAATCTGAGCTAGTGGCATTCTGAATCTGCTGATCTGGTACTAAATCAGAAAAACTGGGAATTCACAAAATGCACAGCTGCACTGATAACATTAGAAGGCAACATGCACTGAAACTGGTACTCGTTCGCTGAACAACATGAGACTTCTTTGTTAAGTTTAAAATAGTAAAATTGTTGGACTGGAAGAGACCTCAAGAGGGGACTTAAATCATCCCGTTGTTCATAACAAATGTCTGTCTAGTATCATCCAGTGTTGGAGACACCACAACCTCCTGGCTGCTCTGTTTCAGTTTCTCACCATCTCAGCACCTCACCTGAAACAACTTTTCCTGAATACAAGCTCAGTACTACCTATCCAATACAACCATGAAGCCCATTTGAGGACTGTTACCATGTCATCCTTCAGGCTTTCTTGCTCACGTTTCCTCCTTTGCCCCACTGCTAATTTTCAAATTTATATATCAAATTTAGGGTTTAAAGCCTTCAGGCATTCCATATTAGTTATGTTTATGACATCTAATCGTCCTATTTGCTCAATTTCCAGTTGTGTCAAAACATTCTTCATGGAAACCCACACAGACCTGCAGCTGCAGTCTTAAAAAAACTGAGAAAGCAAAAGGAAAACTTTGGTTTGGTATCTGTGTACCATGGTGTGGCACCTGCTACTTTCCTAACAGCACTACCTCATGGACTGGTGTTCAGACTGATGATCCATGTGATGATAAAGCGACTATACAGGCTGTCTGTATCTCTTTTTATGCAGCTGATTATTTTTGTCAAAATCAAGAGTTTGCAGTTGTCCCCTTAGAAATATCATCCTGGTTTTGGTGGTGGTTGTGTTTTTTCCCCGTCTGTTCCTTCCATTTGTCTGGTGATTCAGCAGATTGGGTGTACTCTCTCAAGTGTTCTTTTTAAAGTATTCAGTGGGTATAATTGCAAAACATCATAAATTGGGACTAACAGTTCATTATGCCATACTCCACGGTAATTAAATCTGTACTTTATGTAGAAGGATCTGGATTTTATGTGAAGCTAAAAAAATCAGCACAGACAGTTGTTCTTGGTTGTGTAGCAAAGGAGACCTCTTTGTATGTGTAACTTAACATGCTGTTTTTTCAATCCTCTAATATAAGGCTGAGGCATTGTTAAACACTATTTCTAAGCATTTGTTTCAAGACCTGGCTGTGGTTTATAGCTCATAAGCATCCTGCCCCACATTTCTTAGAGAATGTAACAGAGAAGACCTTGAATCATTGGTGCAGTTAGGTGGCAAGTGGAGCAGAAATCTTAGTCCTCATTCCTGAGCGTTCCTCTAATGGCCCTCACAGTGGCCATTTTTGTGGTGGGAAGAAATGCTTTCTTTTAATTTGTTTGAAATACCTTTCTTGGGTTAGAATTGCTTCATTCTCATTAGCCACATTCTCTGAGGGACTTGCACAGTTAAAAGAAAATTGCTAGTTTAATTGACCAACTTCACCCTCAAAATACTCCGCCAGTGTATCTTCACATATCAAAACCGCTGCTGGCTGATACAAGAATTTTGTAAGCATAAGTTTCTTGATCTGTTATGCCCTGTCGTCTTTCCTTGCTTCTTTAGTTCTGGGTTGTGTTCATCTTTAGTGTTACTTCACTGGAAAACTGGGTTGTAATTTTGCAGGAGGGTACAGGACTGCTTACAGTTTGTAGAGCAGAACTTGTAAATTGATCTGAGGCCTTCAGGAATTAAAAGTCTGCATAATAAAACTGAAAATATTCCTGTCAAAGATGTTGAAATGCAGAGTTAAACTTATCAGGATTGCTCACTTTATACATGTGTGAAATAAAATGGTTAGTTCAGCTGAAGTACTATAGCATTGAAGAAGCTGAAGCACAGGAGTATATGAAGATAATGGTTGTCAGTATTGCCTGCCTTAGGTATTCACATTTTATGTCTTTGGTTCTAGAAACAGTCTCATGTAATTAAATAAGCATTTTGGGTTGGAGGGTGTACAAAAAAAGAAGTTGTCTTCTTGGCAAACTGTTCACAAGAGTTCACAAGAGCTTCATAGTTGGGGGGGGGGGGGGAACTTAAAAAACCCCCCAACAAAA